GATCTACGTCTGCAGGTTTCCAGAGTCTGGATTTTCTGATTTCCAGCCTTCTGCAGGACGTAGGTTTCCAGATTCCAGATTTGCACGCCTAAGTTTCCAAAGATTCCAAATTCCAGATTTGCACGCCCTAAGTTTCCAGAGGTTCCGGATTTCAGATTTCCAGACTTGCACGTTTCCAGGTTTCCAGATTCCAGATTTCAGATTTCCATAAATCTGGAATCTGGAATCTCTAGACGCTTGGGGCATGCAAATCTGGAAATCTGGAATCTGGAATCTTGGGGCCTATCAATCTGGAAATCTGGAATCTTTAGAAGCTTGGGGCGTGCAAATCTGGAAATCTGGAATCTTGGGGCCTGTCAATCTGGAAATTTGGAATCTGGAATCTTTAGAAGCTTAGGGCGTGCAAATCTGGAAATCTATAATCTGGAATCTTGGGGCCTCTCAATCTGAAAATCTGGAATCTGGAATGTTTCGAAACTTGGGGCGTGCAAATCCGGAAATCTGGAATCTTGGCCTATCAATCTGGAAGTCTGCAGTCTGGTGCCCCATAGAGTACCCTGCCTTACTCCTATATACCATATATAAGCCTGATAGAATACCATACCATCTGGAATACTGTATAAAGCGCTTTGTAGAAAGCCCTCTACATGATACCCCTCGTGTACCTTGTATATACCGCTAAGAATCCCTTTTGGAATACCCGAAGGAGACCCTATAGACAAAGATTTATGTAGGAGAAATTAGGAGGAGCCCAATATCTTGTAGCTTATTGAGCAAGGGATTTTTATGACAGAAATGAGAAATAACGATGAAAAACCTGTGGAACACCTTACAACATACCTGTTTTACAAGCCTTACAGGAATTTCTTGCAAAAGACGGTAGTACCTTATGGAATGCCCCCTGTATGCCTTGTATATACCTTGTTGAATAACAGCTATATATATATATATATACCCTATGAAATACCCCAGGATACCGTATCCAATGTTTTACAGGAAAAGCGTTTATGCAGCAAGGCTCGGGAGGAGGCCAAGATCTGAGAGTTCCCCGAAAAATGATAATTTACGGGGTAAGGGGTTCATATGAAGGAAATGCGGAATCTAGGATCTAGGAACTCCTTGAACAAATCGAAACCTATCTAGTAAGGCTTACATATAGAGAACAAGACAGGGAATACGTTGTACAACTCCGATATACCCTACCTTTTCCTTCTAAAATACCATCCGGTATACCCTGTACAATACTTTACCGCCTACATATGATACTTGCATGCCTTATGTATGCCACATAGCATACCTAAAGAGCAGCTTATAGGACACCCTTTAGAATCCCCTATAGAATACCCTGTAAAGTACCCTGTGGATAGGGGTTTTAAACATGGAAAACCAGTTGGAGCCCAAGATCTGAGAAGTCCCCAATTGAATTGTAGCTTCCAGGTATGGGATTCCCATGAAGAAAATCAGGCACCGAGAAAAATAGCTTTACAACTACCTGATAGAATACCCCCTGTGTATGCCTTAGAAAGTTTCATCTACCTATAGAATACCGTCCAAAATCAAGGCTACAAACTGCCTTTTGTACAATCCTTTATGGACTACCCTATAGACTACTTTGTAGAAAACCCTATAGAATACCATCTGGAATACCCTGTAGTGGAATACCTTACAGAAGACCGCTTATGTAATATACCTTGTGAATACCTTAAATATAGCTCATAGAATATCTTTTAGGATACCCTTTAGAATATTTTATAGAATACCCTATAGCAGACCGTATAGACAACGACTGAAATTAGGAAAATCAGGAGGAGCCCACCGTTTAATAGCATAGGTTCACGAACGAAGATGCAAAAAACTCGAGGTTTATGAACACCACAGCACATGAAATGCAATGTCTTCCGACACGTTCGGCTTTCCGAATACATAAAGTGCTATTTTGTTAGCCGAAATTCGGCCGCGGATTTTTCGATGCATCGAAACACGATGCGTAGCAGCACGGCTGTATGTCTTCGAGGATAAAGACTATTGTACACGTATGTGTAAGTAAGCATGATATGGTATGAAGCCTGCAAGCTTAGATCTTGGGGGGGTGACCCTCCATATATATATATATATATATATACACACACACATTTCTATACAATTATATATAACAATATTTTATAAGAGTATATATATATATATAATGGTATATATATATATATATATAAGTCTTTATAATATTATATTTTGATATATTATTATATGCTGGCCTGCAGGCACTCGAGTAGAGCAGCATCTCCCTGGCACTTGCTGGCTTCGAGGCTCTGGCTGGTAGAAGGTAAAAAAAAGGACCGAAATAACCAAAAAACAGTAGGTTAGGGGTTCCTCATTATAGTTATAGTATAATATACCCCAAAACCCGACGTCTAACTATTAAAGCCCCTAGATGAACCGTCTGCCGCTGAGGTCCGAGCACTTTTGGACTAGGATGCAAGATGTTGATAGACACCCTAGGGTTTGGGGTTTGGGGGTTTCGGGCGTTTAGGGTTTAGGGTTTAGGATCCAAGAAAAAACAAACAAAAAAACAAGAACCACCCCAAGGCCTTAAGGCTTGGCGTGGCAACCGTCACCCGCCAGCCACTTGCAGCACTCGGAGAGCGCCAGACCAAGAAACCCCATCAAGGGGCCTTCCAAGCTCTGAACACCCGAGATCCTTAGGGTTTAGGGTTTAGGAAAAATTGATACAAAAACCTGCATCGCATCCCCACATCGAATGCATGCAGCTACATGTGGTTAGAACTGCTGAAGGTTTGAGGGTAAGCACTTTCCGGCGTTTTCGGCATGATCAGCACTGGGCCACATCACACTTCCCTTGACAGTCTCCAAAGCAAACGAGCCGACCATCTGCCCGCACTAGCCAGACCTCGAGTTGTACCCAAAACACACGAGCTGACCATCTGCCCGCACTGCACAAGTATGCCAGTCGCCCGCTGAGACTGCCAAAACCGGTCCCAAATCTGCTGGCACGTCACACTGCCCATACTCGTTGTTTCCCCAGCAGGCGAGCTGACTATCTGTGCGCATTGCACAATAGTGATAACCGCCCGCTGAGACTGCCAAAACTGGTCCCAAATCTGCTGGAACATCGCACTGCCAATAATTGTGCGTCTTTCCAAAGCAGACGAGCTGACCATCTGTCCGCACTGCACAAGTATGATATTCGCCCGCTGAGACTGCCAAAACCGGTCCCAAATCTGCTGGCACGTCACACTGCCCATACTCGTTGTCTCCAAAGCAGACGAGCTGACTATCTGTCCGTGCTGCACAAGTATGATAACCGCCTGCTGAGGCTGCGAAAACTGGTCCCAAATCTGCTGGCACGTCACCGTGCCCATGATCGTGCCATCCAACGCAGACGAGCTGACCATCTGTCCGCACTTCACATGCTGCACATCCCAAGCAGACGAGCTGACCATCTGTCCGCACCGCACAAGTATGATATTTGCTCGCTGAGACGTCCAAAACCGGTCCCACATGGGCTGGCACGTCACACTGCACATGATCGTTCTTTCCAAGACAGACGAGCAAACTATCTGTCCGCACTGCACAAGTATGATTATGAGAAGGGCCCGCTGAGACTGCCAAAACTGGTCCCAAATCTGCTGGCACGTCACACTGCCCATAATCGTTGTCTCCTAAGCAGACGAGCTGGCCATCTGTCCGCACTGCACAAGTATGATGTTCACCCGCTGAGACTGCCAAAACCGGTCCCAAATCTGCTGGCACTTCACAGGATGCGGAAATCTAGGTCCGTCTGTGCAGATTGCTGGACAAGCACCCGACATGTTGAAGCCGTGGCCGCACGAAACGTGACTGACCTGGCGTGGGAACGAACCACGAGCCAGGATGGATTGAAAGAAACGACAGGAAGGCGGTCCTTTTTGTCGAGAAGAGTATGCCAAGTGCCAGGCCGGCTTTCATGGCCATTGGGAGATGGATGTAGGAAGCAATGTTCCAGGAGGGCACGGCTGAAGCTGAAACACGGGAATCTAGACAGGCAGTTATCATTGCTATGCTATTAGTATCGTTCTAGTCGATACGGCGTGAATCCTACGCCTCATTCCTACTGTTGATCACCGTATTATTGTAGAAGTATTTAAGAAGACCATTTCGATTTTCTCGGGTTAGGGATTTCAGGTTGATACTTTTGGGTTTTCTATGGGGGTGTTGGTCTATGAGTTTGACTATGCTATTCTCCATGGGGTAGTGCACTTGGGTCTTTGTATGGGTCTTCCTACGGGGTCTTTTGGTGGGTTGGAGGTTGAGGCATGGGTTGCTCTGGTTTGGGTGCGAAAGTGGGTTGCATGATTAGAAAATGGAAATGGTACCCTAAACCCTAAACCCTAAACCCTCAAGAAAGAAATAAAGAGAATCGAGATTGCTTGTTGCTGCTGGCCATCCGGAAACAGCCTTGCCTGGCGGGCTGTCATGGTGTGCAGGGCTCCCAACTCCACCACCGCCGAGTACTCCGTGAGCTCCTGCCACCTCTTCTAGCGGGCCTTCACTACCACCCCCTTCTTCCACCTCCTCCTGGCCGCCGCCTTCCCCTCTTGCACTGCCGCCTTCTCATAGGGGTTCATGGCCGCCCGCCGCTCCGCCCGCTTCGTTGGCCCTGTCCAGGAGGGTCTTCCTTTCCTCCTCCGTCTCGGCGTCCCTGCGCCTCTTCCTGGCCTCCTCCTCCTTCTTTGCCGCCACCTCCGCCGGCCACTTCACTGCCCGCTTGGCCCGCTGCCACTTCTTCTTCTCCGCTTCCTCCCTCCGGAGTCCTCTTGGGCCAGACCTTGGCCTTGGCCTTAGTGTTGCGGGCAGCTTTCCCTTCCTCCACCCGTGCCTCGAAGTGCCTTCGAACTGTGGCCAACTGGCCAGTTCGGCTCGGGCACGGACCAAGACCTGCCATGGTGGGTACTCGGCGGTTGTGGGATCGGAGGGCTTGGAGCTTGAGGCGAACGGCTGCACGGTGACGAGCACACTCACAAGCCAGTGCAAAGCAGACTCTCATGACACCGACGGAGTTCGAGCCGGGGCTTGCCCACTAGACCACAGATGTGGTGAAGATTCTGTTTCTTTCCTTATTAAATGTATGATTATGATAACCACGAATACTAAACTATTATTAACAGTCCTCGCTTTACTATTTACTATTTATTGATTCTAGAATGAATGCTATTCAAAGCTTTGGGGAACCTCGGGGACGCGTCTGTCCCCCCTTTGGCCATCCCTTCCTTCCTTACAAAGCAATTAAAAGCCTTGGGAAGCGTTTGTCCCCCCTTTGGTTAGCCCTTCTTAAAAAAATACTTAAAAGCTGTGGCGGGGACGTCCTTTCTTTCCTTTAAAGCAATTCAAAGCTTTGGGAAGCCTCGGGGACGCGTCTGTCCCCTCCTCCGGCCGTCCGTTCCTTCCTTTAAAACAAGTAAAAGCTTTGGGAAGCCTCGGGGACGCGTCCGTCCCCCCTCCTCCTGCCGTCCGTTCCTTCCTTACGAAGCAATTAAAAGGCCTCGGGGACGCGTCTGTCCCTCCTCCGTCCGTCCTTTCCTTCCTTTAAAACAATTACTGTAAAAGCTTTGGGAAGCCTCCGGGATGCGTCCGTCCCCCCTCCTCCGGTCTCCGATGCCTCCATGAGAACGGTGGACCCGGGCTGTGGCAACCAGCTGTTCCGTAGTTGATAGTGGGGCGCAGTACGGCCGTCTGGTCCTGTCTGCTGCATTAGATGCACGTGAGCTCCGATCGCTCCGTCCCCGTACACGTATGCCTCGTCCGTGAAGCTCGTCGAAATGAGCAGGGCGTGCCCCAGCCATTGGGCAACGAAGTGAAGTGCTGCGCCCTCTGGCAGCTCTCCTTCCATCAAGGATACCGTTACATCTGGCCGGTTGGCCTCGGCAGCCAGCGAGGCAACTTGTCCGTGCACCTCGCCGGCAGCGCTGCTCAGTGCCCTTTTGAGCTGTGGATCGAGAATGCCGAAGTCATCACGGGGCAGGACCCCAGCCCAGCCCCAGCAGTCGTCCAGCCTAGGACTCCCAGCCCAGCAGCACAGCCCAGCTTCAGCCCAGCCAGCCAGCCCACGGCGCAGCCAGCCCACAGCCCAGCCCCATCAGCCCCCACCCAGGCCCCAAAAACAGAACACACCAGCCGCCCAGGCCCAGGCCCAGCTCGGCCGTCCCAACCGGCCAGCCCTAGATTCTAAATCAGGTTTCAAAAAAAGCGCTCAAAACGTTTCGTTCCAAACTTACGGTCAAAACTTATTGGCACCCAAACACTTAACAATTTCTACAAGCCCTAAGCCCTAAACCGTAACCCTAAACACTACCCCCCCCCCCCCCGCGCGCTCCAAGCTGTGAGCCTGGGATCCTCAAATCCTCAAGCCCGCCAACCCTGCAAGGAAAAAAATTACAGAAACCCTACGTCACCGGGGGCCTAATACGTACCTATACTATTTTTTGGGGCTTGGGGCTTAGGGTTTAGGGTTTAGGGTTAGTTACCTATACTACTTTGGGGGCTCCTTATTATATTTATAGTATCATGGGCTCCAAAACCCTATTCTAATTATTAAGGCCCCTATGTTACGTCACATCCTCACATCGAATATAGGCAGGTACATGCATACTATATGGCTTGCACATCTGACAGTTGAATGGGGCAACCATTCAGGCTCAAGGTTTCGATTTGTAACCGTGAGGGACCACTGGAACAAACGGCCTCGTCTGTGGGCTCGATATGCTCAACACGGTCCTCCGGTTCTGGATTCATTCAGGACACGGGGCTTAGGGGTTGAAGGTTCAAGGTTTGAAGCTTTGCTGCTTGGGTTACGACCCACAACAACGCGTTAAACCCGAAACCCTAGACCCTAAACCCCGAAACTTTCAACACGTATCCCGTGTCGTGGGATTTGAGGACAAATCTGGGAACGTGCACTGTAGATGCCATCATCAGAACCCTGGCAGAAACCGAAAGTCTTATCCTGCGTAAACCCGAACTTTTGAAGTCCACCCTGCTTTTTCCCGAACGTCATCTGAACCTAGGAAACCCCCTGACCCTAAACAAGCAGAACCCGAAACCCTGAACCCTAAACCCTAGAACCCTAGAGCCCTACACACTAGGAACCTAGCAACTCCGCAAACCGGTATAAGAGCCTTCCCCAGCTTCGGCAAGGCTGGGAAACGAGGAGCGCCCGGAAGAGTGGCCTCCTTTTTGGGGCATGGGCGTGTGAGGGGGGGGTGCTTGAGGCTTAAGGGTGCGTGGGGCGTTTAGGGTTTAGGGACATTTAGGCCTTGCAGGTGGGGCGACGCTGGTGTTGGCTTTACGGCTCAACAGCTTCGGCTTTGAGCTAAGACGGCTTGGAGCCTTGAGATATGGGGTTTGGGGCTGAGGGTTGAGGGTGTTGGGTTTTGCTCATCCTTCGGATGCCGTTCCTTGTCTGGGCCGGGTATACTATAGTAGAACTACATAGGGACTACAGTTGAGTCTTATTGCTATAGTATCTCTTCCGACTTCTCCATGAAGCCTTGCCTTCAAAACCCATCTTAAATCCCAGTTCATTGAAACCTCAAGCGTGACCAATATGCGGCCTTCTCTGCCTCCTCCCGCTTCTCGGTGAGCATCTGCAACCTGCAACTCAGGATGTTTCTCTTGAGCTGGAATAATAATGGCAATGGAATACAAATAATATTACAAAGACTGATAGTAACAGTCCTAGTAGCAAATGTGTAAAAATGACAGTAATAAGAATAGTACTGGACCCTAAAGCATGAGAGCCCCTCATCCACGCAAGACACCGCAGCGCATGCCCGGGCCTCCTGTGTCGACAGAACTCCGCGGACAGCTGCAAGGCCAAAAAAAGCGTCTCGGCCTCCAGCTCAAACACCCGGAGGGGTGGTCCGAGTAAGAGTCATGATCATGACATGAATAGAAGTTCCAATCTAGCGGCCTTTATGCTGAGGCTTTACGACACGACAAATATGGGGATCGCACGGCATAGTTGAAGCCTACTACAGGAAACATGACAGGCATGCCAGTCATGTCGATATGAGACTCTACTCGACCTTTCATGGAAAGCAAACAAGTTGGAAGTTCTATACGGTTGTAGCCAGGGCAACGAAAGTTCCAGGGAAATCTCAGACAGTGAGTGCACAACCTGCCCAAGGCATCCCAAGTCCAGCATTGAGCTCCCAACCATCGCAAATTCCCAACAGACTTGTAAAACCAAAGTCTCAGACAAAGTGAAAGAGTAGCCGGAACGAAGACTCAAGCTCGTGAAAGCTGTCCAGCTTCAACAACACTCGACGATCTTCAGCTCACGGAACGGATGCTTGTGCCCAAACCTTCGTCCCCGCATCCTCGCCCCCGCTTGGTGCCTTCTGCACGGAAAGTGGCCTGCCTGCAGCGGTAGGCTTGGACCCATGCAACAGTGCTTTACTCAGCAATCAGAACATGCAGATAGCCTATTGAAACTCTATCTCACCGCTTCCAAACCCATCTACCTCAATCCGTGTCCCCAACTCCAAACTCGAATGTTTTTCTGCAAATAACTGAGCTTCAAGACAGGGCCTTGGTCTGCAACGATCGCACGACACACGACGCGGATTGCAAAGCCTCGGGAAAGGCTTGGGTATGTCGGCCTTTGGGATCTCAGAGTTTCTGTGACTGGGTTGTTGGGTTCCGATCTTGCCAATCTGCATGAAGCCACCAGCACCACCACCAGCACCGCCACCACCATCCAACTCTAGCACGACGAGCATTCGACATCAATGCCGACAGCCGAAGAAGGGCAGGCAGACCTGAAGCTACTGTCAGCGCTCGATGGGGTTCGATTCGGCCACATCGTCTCAGTCGTCGTCGTGCTGCGAAGTCTATGCATGCACATAGGTAAGCCAATATGTACGTATGTATGCATGTATGTAGGTATGTACGTGCGCATGCATATACGTATGCATGCATGCATGTATGTATGTGCGTATGTCAATATGCAGGCATCACAGATACATCAATAGATAGGGGGAGGTTGGGACTAGAGGGGGGGGGTAGAGACCGATGGACAAAGAGAGAAAGGAGAGACCAAGAGAGAGGAACTGCAACGAAGCAACTCGAAGCAACTGCAAAGAAGCATCCGCACGCCGGTGCGCAGCGCGTGCGCGGAGGTGCCCAAATGGGTGCCCAAATGGGTGCGGGAGACCCTGGCAGTGGGCAACCTTGCCAAGGTCTGGGAATTGACAATGCGGTTGCTCGCAGACGAAGAGTGCAGCAGTCCAACACGGCTAAGGCGGCGGGGAGGTCCGCCAAGCTGGAAATGTCCAGGTCTTCAAGGTCTCTGCAGTCTCTGCGGACGTCGGGCACCAAGGTCAAGGTGTCCCGCCGATAAGATGCAAGCCAATAACTGCTGCGACGACTTTTCTGGAAGGCACTCTTGGTTGGGTCTCTGACGTTTTCTGACGTTTTCTCGGGGGGAGTTTGGTATTGAAGACCCTTCGGAGAGGCTTCTCAGGGAGCTAGAAAGCGTTGGAGACTTGACCTTGCCAAGGCCAACGAAGTCCATCCAGCTTTGGAGATGTGTTGAACCTATCAGTGCCATGCAGTGCTGCCTGAGAAAGCCAGTGATCGAGACCTCTCCCGTGCATTCTGTGGGGCCAGCAGCTTTCTGTGCAAGCTTGGCTGGCAAAGTCTTCGAGCGCTGCGGCCGCATTGTCAAACAAGAAGCAGTCAAAGAAAAGCCTATGCAAATACGACAAAGGCCGCGAGCACGATGTGCCTACATGATGATGACGACAACGGTTGTGGCAACCCCATGCTTGGCTGTCTTAGGGTTTAGGGTTTGAGGTTTAGGGTTTGAGGTTTAGGGTTCAGGGCCGTGAAACCCGACTCAACAGCCCGGACAACCCTCTGCCAATCCCCAAGCCTCAAGAGAGACTGAAATTCTAAAGCGGCGCCGCAGACCGGACACCAAACATGCGAAGGTCGAGACCCTGAGTGCCTAAACTCAAATCCCTGTAGCTGTTCTGTATAGTGACAAACCATACAGATCCAGGGTTTCGGTTCGGAGGCCCTCCCTGCAGACTCGGCGCCAAGGTGTCGAGCTGCTGGCCGCCTGTCATCGAAGAAAGCTGCACCTGCTGCCTCGCACATGGAGATTTGGGCTTGCACGGATGTAATTCGGGTTGGGACTTGCGCACTGTCAGCGTGGATCCTCATTTAGGCATGCCTTAAAGACCGCCAAGGTGCGGGTCCTGATACTGCTACTGTTGTTCAACATTCCACGCTTGAAGGCCTTCCCTGAAGACCAAACCCTGCGGACTAAACCTCCCACATGAAGCCAGAACCGAAACCGGCATGCATCTCCGGAAAGCCCTAAACGCCGAACCCAAAGACCCTAAAGCCGTAAAACCCTAAACCCTAAACCCTCTAGAACCCTAAACCCTGAACCCTGAACCCAAAACCCTAGAACCCTAGAACCCTAAACCCTGAACCCCAGACCCAAAACCCCTAAACCCCTAAACCCCTAAACCCTAAACCCGAAACCCCTAAACCCTAGAACCCTAGAACCCTAAACCCTGAACCCCAGACCCAAAACCCTGAACCCCTAACTCCCTTAAACCCCCAAACCCCTAAACCCAAAACCCTAGAACCCTAAAACCCTAAACCCTGAACCCCAGACCCAAAACCCTAAACCCCTAAATCCCTTAAACCCCTAAACCCCTAAACCCTAAACCCCTAAACTCTAAACCCTAGTATGTGCTTCGAGCTGCAGGCCGACCGAAGCCTGGTTCTTTCTGCCGTAGCCACACATGGCCTGGCCCTTCGCTTCGCGGACG